AAAGTTACTTTTTCAAGGAGTAATCAGTAATCCGATTAAAGTTACTTTTTCAAAGTAACTATGCCATCACTGGTTTTGAGGATGTAAATAATAGCAGAATTAGGAAGTGAAAACTTTGCTGTTAGCAAGTCTCAGACCAGTCGACACCTGGAAGGAGATGAAGATGAAACATAGAGATTAGCATTAGCTTCCGTTCATTCTTTAATTTGCCTTTTGCTTACTGGTTTACCATTTGCTTCTGTTAATTTTTTATGTGTTTAATGGTTTAGCGTTGGCAGCTAAGATTCTTGTTCAGTGAATTAGCGGTTAGTGAGTCTAACTTTTGTGGTTAGCATAGCTCAGCTGATTTTATTTGAAACATATATTCTCCATTACACAGACTGGCGACCTGTCCAGGGTGTAACCCGCCTCTCGCCCAGAACGTTAGCCGGAGATGGGCTCCAGCACCCCTCCCAACCCACTAAGGGACAAGGGTGTAAAGAAAATGGATGGATGGATTCTCCATTACAACCATGGTGGCCATTTTGAAAAAATGAAAAGGGAAACACAAGATCAAAATAATATAAATGATTTCTATGGTTGAAAAGATGAAGGTTATGATGCGACACCAAACACTAAGATCAGATAAATAATTTTTCATGACGATCAAAATACTGATCATAATTTTCATAAAATCAAAATATGATCAGTAAATATAATTTCTGTGGGTCCAATTATGTGTGATTTGACACCAAAAGTATTAATGACTGGCAAATTTAGTGCAACAATACTTTCCAGACCCTGGCAGCCATCCAGGTTCCATGTTCGGTTCTGTCCGCATGTGAAAGACTTAGCAATCCCTCGGTGGACATACCTGTCCCCGACGTGTCCCTCGGTGGACAGACCTGTCCCCGATGTGTCCCTCGGTGGACAGACCTGTCCCCGACGTGTCCCTCGGTGGACCCGGGGCCGCAGGGTTCGCTCGGCAGCTGGACGGGTCCAGATGAAAGACAACAGCTGAACAAAGACGGGACGTCTCAGCGTGTGTCCCGTCTCTTCAGGGAACAGGACAACAAACACACAGCGTCCGTCCACGTCCTGCTGGGACGGCAGGGGACACGGCGAGGTCACAGGGTTCATTCAGCCAGCTTCATCTGAACCAGAACCAGAACCAGTAGAGGCACACTCCAAAGTATTCTCACCCCTCAACGTCTCCAGACGTCCCAAACATCCCGGCAGTGGAGCAGGACCCTGAAGACGAAGGAACGTGATTCATGGCTCAGCTGTTGATCTGAAAAGTGTGGAGTGCATGTGATTTCAGAACTCCAGCAGAACCTCCTCTGGGGTTTGTCTCCATTTGAACTGGGTTTTATTTTGGGGTGTCTGAGGAATAAAGGTCCAGACAACAATCATAAATTAAAGCCATGAATCCTTCCAGGGTGTGAATACTTTTACCAACAATAGCTCTTCAGCTGCTGACCTTTGACCTTTTAGCTGATACGGATGACTAGAGGAATGTTGTCAGTTCTTTAAAACGTTTGGAGAATAGACCGGGCCTTCTCCAGAACATCCAGGTCAGCTCTACCGGAGACTCACCTGTCACATGAAGTCACGTGACCTGCCTCCTGCTGTTGGTTCTGGAGAGGGTCGGTGTGTTCTCTGGCGCCCCCCTCAGGGGAAGAGGAGCGCTACAGCGACTCATGAGGAGGGAAGGTTCTGCAGATCCTGATGGAAAGACCTGGACCAGGCTACCGGACTGATGTTCTGGTTCTGACACAGTGACCCCTTCACTACAGGTCGGAGGAAATGAACCGCTCAACCAAGAACAACCAATCAAGCCCATGTACTGACTGCTAAATGTGCTAATAAGTTTATCTGCCATGCTAACTAGCCTTAGCATTAATGACAGGCTGCTGTGGTGAGCCAGCTGTAGCATAACAGAGTCAATCATGCACGTACACGAGCATGATTGTCAGCACTAAGACCTGCCTCCTGTCTCGAAGGGTCTTAGTTTTCCAGACTCAAACTGTCACAACGTAATGAGAATTTTAACAAATATGTAAAACATTTTTATAAAAGTTCCAAACTGCAGATTTGATGTCAGGTTTGTGTTTGTGGGAGTTTAACGGCAGCAGAACCAACAAATAAATCCACTGGGCCGCACAGGTTCTCCACTGGTTCTGATAGTTCTGGTTCTGGTGGTTCTGTTTGGTTCTACTGTCAGCCAAATAGAACCTGTGAATGCTCCATGTTCTGACCCGGTCCTGCAGAACCTTCCGTCAGGCGTCTGTCTTGTGTGCAGCTGGCCGGGATGAAGAGCTGGGTGGACCTGCGGAACGAGATCGTGTTCCTGACGCGGAACGCCACGGCGTCACCCAGCGTCCTCTACAAGGCCGTCTCCAGGATCGTGTGCGGCCACCCGGAGGGCGGCGGCCTGCAGATCAAATCCCTCAACTGGTACGAAGACAGCAACTACAAGGCTCTGTTCGGCAACCACAACGGCAGCGAGGACGCCGCCGCCGCGCTCTATGACAACTCCTCCAGTGAGTCCCCACTAACTGGTCTGACTGGTTCTGACTGGTTCTGACTGGTTCTAACTGGGACTGGCTGGTTCTGACTGGTTCTGACTGGTTCTAACTGGTTCTGATTGGTTCTGAGTGGTTCTAACTGGTTCTGACTGGTTCTAACTGGTTCTAACTGGTTCTGACTGGTTCTGACTGGTTCTAACTGGGACTGGCTGGTTCTAACTGGAACTGGCTGGTTCTGACTGGTTCTGACTGGTTCTGACTGGTTCTAACTGGGACTGGCTGGGTCTGACTGGTTCTAACTGGTTC